TGCCGCTCCAGACTTGGGGTCGACTGGAGCCGGCTTTGGTGTTGGTGATCTGAGACGGCGGACTTGGGTACCGCCTTGGACCAGCTCCGCGGACGCTCAGCTGATGTTTCATGCAAATTCGAACTTTTCTGCACATGATTTGCAGACACCGACCCCGAAGAGGAATTACGCCTACACACGTCGCGACAAACTTAACGGACTGGCCACTGTAAAGGTCATAGCTACAGCCCACAGACTCTGTGCGATGTGAATGACATTGCCAGCGCGCTGGAAACAGCATGCAAGGTACAAAGTTGTGTGCATTACTGACAGAAGGTCTGTGTGGGTCATAACGCTGTATCCTAATCAGCATTGATCACATCTGACCAGGGGACTCCGCTGCTGCAGTTCAGCGGCGCGACACTTTTGTACAGTGTTACAGGGCGCACGTAGACTTGCTTGTAGACCGCTTATTTCCCATATCAGGGGGTTAAAACGGCAGATGCAACCAAAACCCGTTGATAAAAAATAGCGATGCAGGTTAGCATAACGCAATTGGGGGAAGCTGCTGCTGCCTTGGAAAGCCCCTAATATACTCACAGCTGTCCATTACAGTCAGCTATGGTACTTGCTTGATCATTGACTCGTAAAAACAGTTTTGAAAACAAAATCTGTAACGGCATGGAAGGTATCAAACGATTTTGGAAATTTGCAAATTACTACACTCCAAACCAAACCACCATATATGCCTACGACGGTACATTACAATTAAAAAGAGGAAATATTATATATACTATATATAATATATATAATATATATATAAAATATATAAATAGATATATATAGCTATCTCTCATCCTCTCGATCTTCTCTCGCTCTCTCTATCTGCATCTCCTCGTCTCATCTCCTCGCTCTTCTATCTCTCTCCTCTCGCTCTCTCTCTCTCTCTCTCTCTTCTCTCTCTCTCTCTCTCTTCTCTCCTCCTCTTCTTCCTCTCTCTCTCTCTCTCTCTCTCTCTCTCTCTCTCTCTCGCTCTCTCTCTCTCTCTCTCTCTCCTCGCTATCGCTTCTCCACTACCGCTTGAAACTCCACAGGACTCAATAATCCTACAGGGCTATCCAGACCTTGTCGTGGGGACGACGACCATTTTCACTTGCAAGGGAATTACATGTACATTACATTGACTAGGTATATACAAGCATTAATGATGCCGTTGTAAGTACAAAGATCGTGATGCATTAACCCTCGCCCTGATAGGGGATCGATGCCACCTCCTCCTTCAGGTGTTTTAGGATCCTTTCTGGCACGTTGTCCAATCGCGCCCAAATTTGCAGTAGCCTCTGGAGGCATCTGCGTGTTTTAACATTTCAAATGTGCTCCTAGCTTTTCTGGTTTCGGAGCAGCGTCGGTTTTTAAGGATCACTGCACGGTGATCTACGGACGGCGCGGACGGCGGGAGGCAACCAACGATGTCAAGGAACACGCGTGGCGCGCCGACATTGTTACATGAACGGAGCTATAGATGATTATAATATGCTAAATTTCCTAAAACTATACACCATTTTGCTCCTGATTAAACTAGGCACACGCCTGCAGGTTTTGTGACACTGCGAGGCACAGTCTCGTATGTAAGAGGTTGTATAGCTAAAAAGTGTAATTTTCGGAAAATATGACTTTAAACCAACCGTAATAGGGTTAATCATTAACAACGTAATAAAACCAAACCTATTGCCATTCAAGAGATCTTGTTGAGACCAATCTATTCGTATTTTCCGCTAATCTCTATCTTCATCAGCTTGGAAACGGTGGTGGGGTGGGAAAGGTCGCATCGAACCCTTTATCAGTCCGCGCTGTAAAAAACGGCCAATCAGGGCGAGGGTAAACGCAAGTTTCTTTTGCTTTAGCGGAAGGCGTTTATTTTCTATGACATCGAGACGTGGGAGGAGGAAGAGCTCAAGGACGGCACACAATCGTCAGACAAATATGTCGGGATCTGTACCTATTCCCATGCGGTAGTGCATGACACATCAAAAGCAACATCGCAGAACTACGTTTTGATATCGAGCCGGAATCGTGTATTACGTTGTCCTTGCGTTGTCATGCAATAAAATGCGATATCAGCGGCAAAGCTGGCTTCACAAGTAGCATTAAAACGCATACATTTCAAGCAGGCTAACAATGCAGCAAAATCCATGTTCTGGACACTTTTACGCATGATTGCGTGACGTTACTGTCACACCATACGCTACATTCCTGAATTGATAAGACTTACGAGGATTTGTCACTGTGGCACACGCTGAGCACTTAACACATATCTACGTACGTGAGTATTCCCTAGTTCGACATGTGTCCAGCTGAGTGGCGTCCTTTTCCCCTCATCGGCATGCTTGCCTCTATGTTGTAACGGCCATTACCGCAATGAGTCGCATGCCAAGCCTCCATAAATATATCACGAAACAGATATTGAGCGAGCCAAACAGGAACAAACGGGCTACAAATGCTGCATCAGGGCTGTTGTTGTCAAACACTCGTTTGCTGGCTTGATCGCGGTGCACAGAGACCTTGTCTATGCGCGCCGGGCGCCTGTTGAGCACCCGTGCCAAACGCTCCGCCTGTCAAATCCGTTCACTCATCAGCAGGCGGCCATTTGTATCACTTAGCCCCTGCGAACGTCGTTCATACATACTAAATAGCTCGGACGTTATTTATAGACGGGATGGTGACCACGCTACGCCATATCGCGCGAGCTAAACCGGGCTGTCCGACGTCAATTTTCAGCGATATCGATTCGCACAAGCACTGCGCCGGTGCAGCGGCGGCCTTCGGTGGTCGCCGGTGCACCGCGCGCGTTGTGCCGTGGCCGGGTCAGGTGACCTTGCGTGACCTTGTGCCGCAGACGGCCGGGTGGCGCCCGGCGCCGGGTTCATTTAGCACCACGCAGGCATTTCCTACACGACTGACGTCAATGGCCGGCTGTGGCGAGCCGTCGCCTCGGGCGATGGTGGCCGTCCGAGCCGCTGTCGGCAGCCTCGATCGGTGCCCGCGTCACGTGCGGCCCCAACCGGACAATTGATTCGAGCTCAACTTCTGACGCTGATTCGCCGGCGGGGCGCGACCAGGCCTCAAATCTCCTCGGGGCTAAAAGCAACAGTTGAAGTTCCAAAGTTACGCGACCGCTGTTGGCAAATCAAGGCGTCGTCTGGCTTCGGTCACGAGTCAAACCCACACTATCGTTGTGAATGTTTCGATAATATTAGCGGTGTCAGACCTCGGTCACAAGTTGGAATCGCACGCGTGCTGTGGCGGAGCTCGCTCAAGGTAAGCGAGCCCCTGCCGCTGTCGCTAATCGTGCGGAGAATGATCAGTGCATTTCCAACACGACACAGAACGCTAATGTGTTCGAGATGAGCGGTCGGTAGGAAGGTCAGGACTGCTGGCTTTGGGTAGGTACCTATGCACTCCTTCCAGTATACCCGGTGATCATTTTTGAGAATCTTCATCTTTGTTAACAGACGAGTGCAATTGCTTTGATGGGCTCCAGAAGCACCGTATGCTTTGCATCGCAAGCTAAAAGGTTATAACTGAAGGATTATTTTCATCAAAGGAGTTCAACGAAGTTAATTATGAAGCATGTGAAATCATGCATTGAAATCCAATGTCCAGTCTTTGTAAAGAACGTGATTGAAACGGTATCAAGCCCCAGCATGTGACATCAAGAGAGCACGGGCAATGCCAATGCTGCCTGCAAGGGAAAAAACGCTGACTTAGCATCGAAGTTAATGAATGCGTTGCCGAAAAGTTCCTCATTATAATGTATGCCATTGTGTCGTGTAAAACAAGCGACCCGTGTCCGTACAACTGTGCATTGGAGCCTTGCTCGATTCATCTTGCATGGCCCCATTGATCACACGTAATGAAGTCGGTATGTGAACGTGTCCACCCTCGCCGGAACACTGGGTGACAGGCCGTCGAGGTCCATCATATGGCGTCCATAGTCACTTTTTTGAAGACGGCTAGGTTATTTACCCAATTGATAACATTATACGTGCTGCGACCCTTTCCTAACAGAATAATAGTACTAGTCTTCTGGATCGATAACCTGTGCCACTACGCCAATGTGTTTCTTCACAATTTGTTTTGCATTTTATCTATCTTTTTACTTCATCAACCGAGTTATTGTTTTCAACACATATCCTGTGCTATCCAGCTCTCATTTCATTGGAAATCTCTGCTCGGCGAGTCGACCTCCCCCCCTCCACACACCTCAATAACGACACATTATGGCGGGGCAGCTACACACGAATCACTATGGCTGGTATCTAAAAAATATGGGCCCCAAATGGCCAGCCACGCGCCATAGCCTGGCTAGAAGGAGCTGATTCTCCGACAGTTTTCCAGGCAGCGTGCAGTTTTCTTACGATTACATCAGAGAATAGCATCCCGCTGATCTTTTCGCGAAACGGAAGTTCTGTTTCAAACTAAGTGATACAAAAGTTCATCCATTAGAAGTACTCAAGCACTATACTATGGTTGCCATTAATTGATCAGGTTCCGCATTGGCAAAACCCCTGCACACTGTCCCGGCGAACACCTCCCCCAACGTCCGACTTCCCCACGTCCAACTGAGGTATGCATTCACAAAATTCAGCTGCCATCTGATCATTCGCACTCTTATTCGCATTTTCCTTATCTGCAGCGGACAGGAGACAACCTATGTTTTCCTACTATACTTGAAACAGGAAACACACCAGTTATGCCTCATTTGCACTGCACAAGAGACTAACATGAGAGCCCGACGGTCTGGATGGAGGAGGGAGGTAAACAGCAGAATGTCAGGACACGCGTGGAAGTTGTCGACGACCGTTTGACAGGAGTTACGCCGAGACCCAGCACCGGTCATCGCGCCGAGCCTGGCGTGGGGCGCAGTCGGGACCGGTCGACCTCTGGCGAGCGTCGGGTGTGGCGCGGGTCGGCAGCGAGCGGCGCCGAACCCCGCCGCCCAGTGCGGCTCCGTCACTCACCGATCTGCGGCACGTCGTACTGCTCCGCTCTGCCGGCTCGGCTGCTACGCAGGAACTGCTGTGCCAGCGCGCTGCCAGTGCGGGCCAGCGCCTGCGACGCCTGCTCCGGCTCCTGCTGGCCGGACCGGCTCCAGGCGGCTGGCCGCTGCAGCCGCTGCAGCAGCTGCGGCGCGGCCGGCGGTAGCCAGCAGGCGGTCGCCAGGCAGGCGAGGAATGCGGCCAGCGCGGTGCGGCGCGGCATAGCGGCGTCGGCTGTCTGCTGCTGGGCGGGCTGCGGGGCCGTCCGGCCGCGCTCACTGCTGGCCGGCGCGCCGCCTCATGGTCCTCTCCCGTCTGCTGCTGGCCGCCGGCTGGCTGCGCTCCGCGGCGTCGCACTGTCCGCGCGGCGGCGGCGGCCCACCCACGCCGGCCGCCGTTGACGCCTGCGCGCGCTGCCCGCCGCCAGTCGATACCGGCCAGCGCCGGCACATGCTCACACAGTTGTTACCGGAGCGGCGCGGCGGCCACCCCCGCCAGCCGCAGCCGGCCGAGGTCGCACGGCAGCCGCCGCCGATCCATAACCCACTCGAAGACAGATGACGCGCGCCAAGCGGACGCCGGGTCAGCTGCGTGGCGCGCCGGAAGCGTCTTGATCGGCTGGCGGAGGAGGGATGGGCGGGTTCTCACACGCCACAACAGGCTGCGTCATCCCACGCGCTGAGTCAGCTCGGAGCGCGGGCCTGAGCGGCGCCAGCGGCCGCGGCGGCGGGTCCTCAGGGAGGACGGTGGCCCGTCAGCACGACTGGGGTCGTAACTCACAGAGCCAAATTGAAGATGGGATTGCGTTGCCACCTCCAATAGGAGACAAGCGTGCTGACAAAAGAAAACCATCACAGCCATGTTCTCGGAGTTCGGTGAGGCCCTTCTTTCTTTGCGCCGTCATGGGCATGCTGCTAAGATCTAGCATTCTTGGGGGCCAGGCCCAGCGAAATGTCCGTCCATGAAGGGACACCGCCGTTTGGAAAACTGTCAGTAGTGTGCAGAATGCAAGATTTTGAATTCAAGCTGCACTCATCAGCCAGGGCGCTCGCTTCCGTATGCCGGCAAAGTACGCACCCATAGGTACACACCGGCACCTGGAGGGATCATAAAGTACATCGTGGTTATGTTTTATTGCTCAGACGACGTTGCAGGGGGACTGTGAGGACGGCAATCTTCAACGGTAGGGCAGCACCGCACTCTGGTAATGCGTAGTGTTTAGCCTCGGATGCTGGCTGGGGTGACCTGCTCAGTGCATGTGTACGTTGTTCTTGTGTATAATTATTTTCGTTGGAAAACTGTGATTCCACTTAATAGACAAACTGCCTGCAGCCCAAAGATGGTCGAACAGCACTTCATGAATATGCACATCAATGGTCTGCAGGTCATTGCAACGTACAGACGCACTCAGCTGGGGCGAGGGGCGCCTCGGAATTTAAGAGGGGGTTGCATGCTCCTGTGCCCACCCTGTGCTCACTCAGCCAGCGGTGCTGCGAGAGACGGACGTATATATATATATATATATATATATATATATATATATATTGGAATATTTTGGCAGAATTCTTTCTTTGATGCATGTTTGATTAAAAATAACTGCTGACTCAGCATTGACGAGCTTTTTGATGCATCGTTCTAGTTTCCGGGCCTTTGACTTTGCGTCATCGCTTAGATTAAAAATGGTTCGCACAAAATTACTCATATATTCATTACCCCTTCCATTCTAACCCTTCGAGATCTTATCTCATCTTCGGAGAAGACTAAATTGCACAAGAAATAAGTTTTGAGTTTTAAAAGATGAAAAATTGTGCACTAGTGTTGGAAAACACCTTTTGGTACGGAGAACATAAATGAAGCATAACTAATTGAAGTAAGACGGATTGCTATCTCCATCTTCGTACACGTCAGAAACTCTCATATTGGGAACATCACAAAGACACAATGGGAACACTATTGTCACAATCACATCAGGAGTGCTTACCGCCCACCACCTAGTAGTTCAAGAGTTCTGCAAGAATTTGTCTCTCTGTTTAAGGCCGGAGAGAGTTCGTTAATAAATATGCTTTCCCAAATTTGAATGTGTCTTCTGTCACTGCACGTCCGTAAAATGTCAGTGCTGTCCGTCAGTTGTTGTCGTGTCAATGTCATGTCGTGTTCCTGTCGCATATGGTCCAGAGGTGCCCCGTCACGTAAGTGCATTGTCAGGCGTCGTGAGAGTGTCGTTGTGGTCACACCAATATAGTGAATGGAACGAAGTTTGCAGCCTTCGATGTTGCATTGGAATTGATACACTACATTGGTGCATTTTAGTTTGTCGGGTTCGTCTGGGCTGTTTCTCATAAGAAAGTTCGATATTTTCTGATTACAATAGTAAATGACAATGCCTATTTTGTGGTCGCTTTTGCCTTTAACATGTTGAGAGATAACTTCCCATAAAACTTTTTCGTCCTGTTTGTGAGCAGATGTCATTTGATTTTGATAGTACAGTTTGACGGCCGGTTGGATGTCTTGCCCTGGTTTGCTTTCAAAGTGTCTTGTCATATGTCGTTGTGTCTCGTTTTCAATGTCAGAATTTGAAAAAAACGTTGCTCACCGAGGTCTGTCTGATTCGTGTCAATTCTGAATGTAGTCCTGTCCAATCAGAGCAGTGCTTAAATGTTCGTCTAAGAAAGGACCTTATGACGCTAATTTTGTAGCGTCGAGGACACTCACTGTCAGCATTTAAGCACCGTCCGTTGTTAGTCTGTTTTCGGTATACAGCCGTGATGAATTGTTGTCCTTGTCCATCGACAGCCACGTCAAGAAAGGGTATTACGTTTTGCACACTTAGCTCTGTTGTGAATTTTAAGCCAGACCGTTCTTCAAGGGTGTTTTTGAGATGTCCTAGTTGGTCAATGTCCCTAACTTCTACAAAGATATCATCTACGTAGCGGCAGTAAATGTCCGGTCTTATGTCGTCATTTTGTAGTATGTCGGTTTCTACTTGTCCCATAAAGATATTCGTGAATACAGGTCCTAGAGGTGAGCCCATCGCAACACCCTCAATTTGGCAATACATTCGGCCATCAGGCCCGCGGAAAGGAACTTCCAACGTGCAGGCTTTTAGTAATTGTTCATGTATATATATAGTATGTGTGCATATAAATATATATATATATATATATATATATATATATGTATATATATATCTATATCTACATATATATATATATACACATATATATGTATATATATCTCTCTCTCTCTCTTTCTCTCCCTCTCTCTCTCTCTCTCTCTCTCTCTCTCTCTCTCTCTCTCTCTCTCTCTGTATGCATATATACATGTATATATAATATATATATATATATATATATATATATATATGCACACATAAGCATAATAGATATCTCTTTTCAATTACCCTCTCCCTCCCCCTCTCTCTTTCGTTTCTCTTTCCCCTTTTCCACTCCCTCTATCTTTCTCTTTCTCTCCGTATGTGTGCTTATATCTACGTACAAACTTGACGATTCTAGTTACTTGTTTATTTACACCAATTTATACATCAATGTCATTTTGTATCAGACTGAGTGACCCGTCCTGCATTTGATTAAAATGCGTCGATTACTGCCATAACTAAATGCCTGAGATTTTCGTCCAGTTACATCACCATCATGTTTTGCTGTTTTGCTGTGGTCGCGAATGTCACGGATAATACGCAGGGGGATCGGCAGGCAGAAATCCCGATGGTCCTCTCTGACAAAAGTTCTCCCGCGAACTCAGCACAGGGCTCCGAGGATAGAACGGTCTATCACGCGAAAAGGTGTATGAGAGCTGGGTTGCTCGGTTTGGTTTTTCATGTCGCAAACATTGATCGCCATCACATAAATATCAAAGTTCAGAAAAGTACGTCGGAGCGTTATGAAATCGGCATCAAAGGGGGAGAAGTATGCCAAATTTTAAGATTTAGATGCAAATCTTAGCACCTAGTCGCATCGCGAATTCGCAAACAAACACCAATTCACCCATCATGGGCTGGACACACCTAATCAAATTGCAGTGGATCCTCAACTCGACTTCAGATCGATCTCAAGATAAGCTAAATGTGTGCTAGAATAAGTGGTGTTGTGTGACTGCATTGCACAGCCTCCTTCCTGTCGAAATCGGCCGGAAAGATTTTAACGTCAAATTATGTGACCTATTAAATGTGCAATTAAACCCCAATACCAACACATTTGAGGAGTATGTCCCCGTATTAAACAGCTTTATCTTAATATGCCCCCGGGTGGCCGGTTGGATGCCCTTCGTTCAGATGGGGTGTCAATTCGACTCCCCTAATATTTCAGAAACTAAGGGAGCTGACTTGAAATTCATAGGGTGTGTCGACCTGTACGTGAACACACTTCCCACAATCTAAGGCTGCTAGGTTATGACCTTTGGGTCAAATAAGGTCAACCAATGTCAAACTATAGTTTAGTGTCCAAAGTGCTTCCGGACCTTCTCATACAACCACCGTGAAACTAGGTACCTGTTCCAAGCAAGAATCCACTGGTGCTCATCCAAGGTCATTACTCTTGTTTGACTTTTCGAGTGTCATGATGCGGTTCCTGTTATGAAAATTCAGATAAGCACAAGGAACTACCGCATACAGCAGGCTCTAGAGAACTAAAACATGTTTATTTTGACCTTGGTCTGACCGCTACCTTTCACATAGATGTATGGCTTTGTACAACACTTCGTTGTTGCATCAGATTAAGCCATTCCCAAGAAATGGTCTTCGCTAAGTCCATGGCTTGAATTTGGCCTGCCGCAGGCTAGTTGCCTCACAACGTGTATTAGGTACATATTTATTTTTGATACCAAACGATCCACTATTCAACTGTCTACAGCTATGCAAAATTTGGCGCGGCCACGTCGCGCCGTTCGGAAATCACCCCGGAAAAACCTTCGGGCGGGGTTGAAATTGACCCGCACCCGAGTGCGTGTTAACACAAGACCTACAGCTGTTTTTCACATTCACCCAACGAAGAGAGAGGGCCTCAGGGGCCCCCAAGCTCTAAAAATCAACAAAAAACTACAGGCCGGGGGAAAACCCCTTGGAAAGCTCACGCTTGAGCTGTGTGGACTAATGGTCATGGA